GCAGCAGCAGCAGCAGCAGCAGTTTCTGCAGACAGCGCGTGGACTCCAAGGATTATCCATGGAGCATGTAAGGGCGTCGTCCTAGTCATGGGGTCCAAAACCTACTACCAGCATAGGACACTGACAGCCGTAAAGAATCCTTCTTGCGAGTGGTCGCGCAGACCTCTTGTCGAGATATCTCCGACTGCAAATCCGCAGAACAGGTGACGGGCCGGGGGTGTTGGTGGCTTCTTTTTCCTCGTTGCTCCAACAGCCGGCGCTGTAGCTGAAAGCCAAAATTCGAGCGATGACGCGCTAAGTCACTGTTGCACACTAAGTGTTGCTTCGAAACCGAGTGCTTGAACTGCTCGGGAGTAGTCGTCAGACGTGGGAAAGCTTGATGGCAGGAGGAGGAGCTGCAGGAGCGGATTGCACCCCAGCTCAGAAAGTCAGGGGTCGCTTTCAGTTCTGTGGGCCGTTGCGCTAATGTCGAAGGCCCGCCTCGATCATGACCTCAGACACGCGGAGTCTAAGGTGCCTTTCTCTGTTCAAACTTCCTTCCTTGGTCTTGGCTTCACTGCGGGGCTATTGTGCTTCAGAGGCTGGAGACGAGAGGAGAAAGTCGACAAGGTGCGAAAGGCTTTTCTTAAACCTCGTAAAACAAGTGCAAGCCTTTGCATGATCGCACGACGTCGTCGCCTAACACTTGCGTTGTCTCCCAGTATCTTCGTGCAGGCTGCGGGCTCGAATCGCACGGATGCGACAGGACTCTCGAGTTTCCCAAATCACGAGCAGACACCGGGTTGATGTATGTGTTGCACCGCCGGAGACTTCTGGTCACTGCTTGGTCAGGAATACCTAAACTGCGTCTCTGAGGCCCTGCTTTGCGCTTGCGCTTCACCACCGCAGATCTTCATGCTTCGGGTATCTTCGAGTACCGAATCAGTGTACAGCCCCGTGCTCTCTAAAGTATGCACGGAGCCTCAACGCAGGTGGCTGGCAGCCGAAATGCCATTGAGCATTTCCAGACAGAGGCATTCACACCCTCGGGATGCTGCAGTGTGAGCGCTTTTTGTGGTATCAGGCCGCGCGCTGGCGTGTGACCCTCCGAGAGCATCAGGAGCAAGAACGTCAGCGGCGGCAGGCAGCAATGATGCGTGCAGGTGATTTTGGCGTTGTGTTATGTTGCTTTCATCACGCACGGCTTGATTGACGAAAAGGCTAGCATGGCGCATCATGGCGCGGTCAGCTAGATTTTCCTGGAAGCTTCTCTAGCTCGGCAGGCGCAGGTGCCCAAATCCCAGGGCTAGTGGCTAGCGGTTCTGCTCGCCAGGCCACGGACGAATCAACACAACACCAAGAAGGAGTGTAGCAAAAGCCAGGCGGTTGTCGAAGGTCCCATCATCCACGTTCCATCGGCTCATCGCTACAGACGAACCAATCCCGAGCCAGCCGCAGAATCGCAGCATCTCGCATCCGCGCTCCCGGCATGTCGTAAATTTCCGACGTCCCTTTGCGGCCTACGGTGCAAGCTTCCAAGTAGTTTTTGCCAAATCCTTCGCACCTGAGCGCGTGTCCATGACAAACATCAACCAGGATGCGTTTGAAGATCTGCGCATCTGACATGCATGTGCGTGGCACTCGCAAGAAATAGCCGCTTTGCGGCGTCTTACGGGCATCCGTCTTGAACGATGCTGGATTCTCCCTATAATAATTCACATGGCCAGATCCGTATGCAGAAATCATGTCACAGAGACTGCGGCCCCTTGAGTCATCGTTCAGTGCACAAGCAAGTCTTGACTTGAGCGCAGGCTGACAGTGAGTTAAGAGCTCGGCTGGGCGACCTGGCAGTGCGGCCGCTGCCGGCTGGCCAGGACAGCCGTACAAGAGCCAGAACGCACCGGGCACGTTGTGGCAGCCTGGGCCGGTTCCAGGAGTGCAGCACCCTGAAGCTGGCCAAGCATGTGGGTGAGTCCCTTACTGCCCAACCAGTGACAGTGGCCCAAATTGATCTCAAACCTGGACAGGTCACTGCTGGACAGAAGCTTGGAGGGCAGGCTATACACCTGGCGGCCACCGTAGCATGGGGCTGGCATGTACCACGGCCAGGGGCAGCTCGGCAAGAAGAGACAGCGAAGCTGAAGGTGCTTTCCAGAGCTGCAAGCATAATTCATGGCTGGAGTTGACGTGTGCAGGAGACCCGCAGCAGACTGGAAAGCCAACTGCTGAATGCAAAGGCGACGGAGACTTTTAAGCAATCCTGGGAGTCGGCTGAGACGTCTACACTCAGGCCGACATGGAGCTCGAAACACAGAGCCTAGCCAGAGCAGAAGAGGAGACCTACCAAGAGAACCATGTGATGCGCTTTCTCTGCTAGCCCACTCTCTGAACAGAGGAGCTGCAGCGACTTGTTGCAGATCACAGAGCCAGAGAGCGTTCAGGGCCCTGTTTGTGTTGACGTGTTTCTATGGCTTGTCGCCCTTTCGCAGTCTTTTGCGTTCCGCGTCAAGGCATTGTTAAGGAAGAATTTGCGGTGGCTCGGGCGACGAACTCCCTGCTCATGGAGGTTCCGATCCGTGTTGTGTCGCTCAAGTGCCACTGATTCTCGCTTTGTCGCATTATGCACCTTCATCGAGAGTACAATGCCTCCAGTCAGTGTTCGGCGCGGTCTCTTTGTGTAGGAAAAAGCCCAATGGCTGCAGACGAGGCGGGAAACGGATGCCACGAACAGCTCTGCTGCACTTCCACCTTCTGCTGTCAACAACAGATGCTTTGCTGCAGCTGCTGCCGTGCTTAGCCGTGTGCCGGGCAGGCCAAAGTTGCTCAATTTTCTCGAAGACTGCAGCCGGCAAACGCCCAGCTCCTCGCACCGTTCCGTAGGTATCCGTAGGTACTCTTGTTCAGCTGTTCGGACTTATCGGACACCTGCTCAGGTTCCCATGCATCGCATGGTCCACATGCTGCGCATGCTAAGCATGCTACGGAAAGGCGAAGCGCTTCGCCACGTCACTGCCCCAGAATCTGTGGAATTGCTGGGATTGGCTGGCTTTTTTGGCCGGCAGGTGCGGACGAAGCAGCGCAGGTTCGCAGCGGTTGGTGGGACTAGTTGTGCTGCTTGCGCTGCGCATTTCTGTGCCTATGCGTTCAGGCTTTGCAAGCTGCCGAACGGGAGAACGAGGCTGCAAGAGAACAGCAACGGACGCTCTGCAATCAAGTACCTTTTCCCAGGAGCTGCAGGCCACCATTGCTGCCCTGGAAAATGACAAGGTGGGACGAGGGCAAACAGTTGCGCTGGATCTATGGATTTTGAGATGCAGTACTGCCAAAACGCTCAGTGGTCCGTAATCATCGCGAGGCACGCCTGATTCAGGATCAGGCACGCGCCTCGTTCAAGCATCGAAGTGAACAGGTGTCTGTCGCCGCTCGCAGACGTAGAAGTCCTCGTATGCGGGTGAGTTTGAGATTGAAACTTCTTGGCAGGAAGAGCTCATCCGGCGCGTGCGAGCTCGAGTCGTCGCGCGGACTCGATTCAGCTTGCTGTTTGTACACTCAGAATACAGGCGGCACCAGTTGCTAGTATTAGTAGCAGCTCCGGCTGTCGAAATGATGGAGATACCTGCGTTACAAGCAGCATGCAGTTTGCGGGTTTACCGTGCAACCCAGAGTACTTGACTGTGTGAGGTCCGCACAAACAACGCTCCGGCTTGTCACAGTTCTACTCGAGTGCAGCAAGGGTTGGCAATCGGGAAACTTCAGGCATTAGACAAGAACCGTCGGATGCGCGCTGGATGTTGACCAGAGATGATCTGACAAGCTATCTTGTCCAAGGTGCCGCTGCAGCAGCGAGCGCTGTCTGAGCTCTAGATAGGTAAAGCTTGCTTGGCCAGGTCAGGTGTTCCCAAAGAGGCGTAGCTGACTGTACTTTAGAGTGTCTCGGAGCGGTGCCGCAGAGCATCACAGAGCGTTTCACAGAGCTATGCAAAGCACTCAGCTCCTGGGAAGGTTTGCTCGGGTGCCCCAAAGCACCAGGCAAGCTGAGGCGTCTGCAACGAGTGGCGATCCCCGAAAAGGTTGTGTGGTTGCGTATGCTTACTCCGAGTGTCGGATTCTTTGAGATTGCCAGGGGCAACAGAATCTCGAGCTCGCCAGCCGGCTGCATGTCTACGTCCAGAGCAGCTCCATAGAGGGTATGGATGATGAGGCCGCTATGTCACAACTATGTTGTGCAGCGCAGTCCGCACAGAACCCTGGATACGATTTCAGGGTACCGCCCTGTCCTTGAATCGAGTACAGGTGGGGGGCTTATCAATGGGCCCAGTCATGTACAGCCCGTGACACCTGCTGCACAAACATACATGCCGTCAGGCACTCTGAAGCATGAATTTTGCACAAGCGGAGTTCATGTGCTTCCACCAGCAGAAGACCACATTTAATGTGGCCGATGTGTCGGACCGTGATACGTTTCGGCTCGAAAGATTGCACACTGCCAGCCCACTGTGAAAGCTGGACATGTCGGTCATCTCACCCTATCAGACCCAAGGCAAGTGGACTCACAGCTCTGGTGGGGAGATCAACATCAGCGTCGATGGCACTGGACAATCGGTGGTTATCAATCACCCAACCGTCGGGAAACAAACACTAGAAGTCCGAAAGTTTTGCCAAGGGGATGGCCTGGACTATTTCGGCTTCAAGGGCAAGCTGGATGGCAACAAAATCACCTGGAACAACGGAGTTGTTTGGACCAAGCAGGCTTAGGCTTGGACAGCTTGAAGCTACAATGCCAGTACTTTGAGTCAAGGAACTCGGGACTGAGAACAGTGATTCCCTGGACACTGGCCGAGATCTCTTCGGGACCAGCCCTCGTGATACGCTATGTATCTCTCATGTTGCAGCGTCTGATGCCGCTTGAGGCGCATCCAAAGACCAAAGACCACCGTTAGCTGTGAAATGCTTCAGAAAAGAGCAGATCTATCTCTAGTTCCCTTATTCAAATTAACCGAGCTCGGGTATATCTCTGCGCAGCTTCAGGTGATGATTGCAGCCGCCGCGCGGCAGCTAGTTGCTGGCAACAAGTGGATCACCAAAGAGGCGCCCAGCCCTGGAAATGAGCTGATCCGAAGGCGAAGTGGGAACCTGTCGGCTACGGTTTGCTGAGCTGAGGTCTTCGATGGCAGACTGGATCAGATACGCAGTGAATATCTGAAAGAACTGCGACAGATCCAGGCTCCTGGCTTAAGGGTACTCCTGAAGGCCGATGTCATGTTTGTTGTCCCGCCCACAAGGCAAGGTTCGAGGACCAATCCAGCTCGAAGGCCTTGAGCTGTGTGATCGGCAGCGGAGTTCTCCTGCTTTTTGTGAGTCGAGGCCCTCCAGGGCGTTACCCCCGTGGTGACTGTTTCTTCCAAGCTACCCAAGATGTGGAGCCGGCAAGCTTGCTTATGATGCCTGTGGGCACAGACAAGTGAATACCACCGCATCATGTTTACTGGGCAGACTCAGCCATTTGCCTAAGTGCATCAACATGGGTAAGCAGCCAAGCAACATCTGGTTGTGGCAGGATGCTTCAGCACATACCCAACGAGGCACTGCGCCGGACAACTGCTGATTCAGGTTCACTAAACACACCTCAACCAGGCGTAACTTGCCGCATTCAATGTTCGGCCGTCGAACATGTGAGAGGCGCCAGACCGACTTGGGACGGCTCCCGCTGGCGGGACACGGCCAATTCCAGGAATAGCTGCTTGTCTTATGGAAAGGGCAGTTTCTGTCGTGCAGAGACGTGGCCTGTCACCAGTGGGCTCGGAGTCAAATCGAGAGCCCAGGCGCTGCCGCTGAGTGCTCGGAGTGGCGGCTTGCGCCCCTCCACCGTGGACAGCAGGCTTCCATCAACCACACAGACTTCACCAGGCTTTGTGATTCTGTTGCGTTGCAGGCCACGGAAAGGACGAGATCGATGATCCCAGATAGGTTAAGCAGTCATTCTGAGGGGCCTTTTCGGTTAATCAGTTACGGTCAAAGTGCAGAGCCTGGCGAAGCCAGCGCTGCTCAGCCTGAAGACGTGCTTGCGACCAGCTGCCAAGGATATCCTTGACCGGTTGCAGGCAGAAAAAAGTCTTCATGTACATAGGACAGCGCCGATGCCTGGCAGCAGCAGGCGACTTACCTCTACCAGCACCGAACTGTCCAAGAATTCAGCCAGCCACTGCCAGAGTTCCGAGAGCAGCTGTACAGCCGGTGTGCCACGCGATATCTGCGAGAAGTCAACTCAGGCTGTAAGCTGCGCACTCCGCGGCAGAAGTCCCAGCCTTTCTCATTTTTTGCCACGCGGGCATCTCTGGGAACGGGCACGAAAGAGGCTTGAAAGAGAGTGTGCGATGCGGCTGTGTGTGAGACCGAGACATCAGCAAAGACCATTAAGCTGGTGCGAGCAATGGAGGCCCGCTGTCCGACTGTGTTGCAGGCTCAAAGAATAAGGGGGCAGCCGGGGCAGCTACAACAGCTGTGGCGTGCCGGACCAACGAGCCGGGCACGGAGTGGAAAGGCCTATTCTGCCGGAGTGGCAAAGCAAGTAGATAAGCGGTAAAAGAGAGGGCTGAAGATGGATTTGGTCCCGGAAAAGCAAAGAGATGCACGGTGCTTAGGCATCTGCTGCCAACTCCCCAAAAGGCCAGCCCTCCCGAGGGTGCGCCGCCTTGAGCGCGGACAGCAAAGAAGCTCGCAAACCCAGGATGACTCACAGACTGCCACAAACCACAAGATCTTCGGGCGATGCCAGGGTCGGATGTCGCATTTCGGACCCGCAATATCGTCTTGGCTTCGGATTCGAGCTGATGATGCTCCACATGTTGGCGATATTGCCTGCTTCCCTCAATCCACTGTGCATGTTCAAGTCATAAGCTGCAACATGGTTCACAAGCTTTCTGTAATACTGCAAAAACAGGCTAGGTATTTTTGGTGGACTGTTGCAGTGCCGCTTGTTCTGCTTACATCTTGGCTGTTGAAACCGCTGTCCAGACCTAACGCCGCCTGCTGATGGGTGATGCCGTCTGGTTTGCAAGACTCAAAGACACCATATTTGCCACGATGACTGCACATCATGACATAGACGACCTTCCCACACAATGCCAGGATGCTGCGGGAGCACTGCGGCGACTCCTGCGCCGCAAGAGCACGCCCCCTAAGGGGTGTTTCGGGCTTGGTCTTGTTCTGCGCTGCCTGTTTTTGTGGATAGAGAGGACACGGCCCTCATCCTTCTAAATATGCATGCCGCATGCAGGTGTTGGTTTCGATAAGTGGAGAGCCGAGTCAAATCTCGAAATGTCGGAAAGTCAAAAAGCTTTGACTGTTCGGCCTTGAGCGTTTTTCTGTGCTTTCGATACATTTTTTTTGTTTTTGTTTTTAGGCCCGCTAGCGAGGGCTAGCGAAAGATGAGTGGTAGGCCAGGGCTAGTCCAGGCATAAGCCTGGGTGGTGTACGCCTGCGGCATACAAAAATACGAGTAGTATCGAGTAGTCATCGCAATAGTCGACTTCAGTAGTCGTAGTACTACTGTCACTAGTCGTGGCAGTAGTTTTCTCTGCAGAATCCTGCTTGTAAACAGCTTCATACCAAATGACACATGTTGCTGAAATTGCAGCCATTTCGGGTTCCGCCCAAGCAGCCAATAAGTAGCAAACGTTGTGGGTTATGCACAAATCTCTCAATGATTTTCACCGTTGCTGGCCTGTAACATATGGAACTTTGGTCTTTATTCGCGTGTGGGGAGCCGCCGATAGCATGCTTTTTTCTCAAAGCACCCCAACGTGTCAGAAACGCAGGCATCTTTCTCTGGCTCGGTGTGGGGAGGTTTTTTTCCATGTATTGGCTCATTTTGGGATTAACTTTGGGCATCCTCAAAACCTAGAGATTTTCATACATAGGCATCAATCTATGCAGGCACTTCTTCACTCAGTATAAGCTGGGGAAGAAGCTCGGAGAAGGCGCTCTTATTTGGGGCCGAGAGAGATGGGACGGCCGGCCTTTTCTGTGACGTAAGAAGCGCTGCAGGTGCCTTTGGACAGGTCCGCCTCGTGGTCGACAGGTCCACGCAAAAGGACGGCGACCGACCTTAGGTTCTGACGCTGCTGCCGCGCCGCTTGTTCTTTGAGGAGCTCGCGGTGAAGATAGTGGATGTTCGCGAACGTGATGAACATGGTGCTTGTGCCGCTCTTAAGACTGGACCAGCGGTAGAGAAATTGCAGGAGGTTGGCACAGTCCTTGTTGCAAGGCAGCGGCGCCGTCAGCAAGAGCCGTGACCGAGTCACCCGAACAGAGGTTGACCTCTGGTCGAAGGATCGCTTGCTGAGCTGTCATGGGGCAGGGGAAACCTCCGTTGCTCAAGTCATGTGAGCATGCCAGGCCAGTGGGACAGACTGTGAATACATCGCATACGGCTCAGCAGTCCTTGACAAGTCTGAAGAGGCTTGCCGATTGCTGCCAAGCTCCGAGGTCAAGCTTTACAAGAGCTTTGCCGAGCTTGGCCCTTGGATCTTTTTCGGGACTTGCTGGAAGCATGGAGCTCTGCATGTCCTCGCATGTTTTTTCATCCTGGCAGCGCAGCATGGCAAAGGAAATCCTTGTATTACATGGTCTGCGAGAAGTGTGCTGCTCCCGGTTTTCGTTCGTAGCGTCGTAGCGCTGTCTTTCGTTGCAAAGAGGTCAGTGCTCCTTCATGGACAGACTCGCCTTCGGCTCAGCTTGGGCTCAGACTAAAGCAGTCTAAAACCCTAAAGGCCCTAAACCCTAACAGGTGGAGGCCGAGTCAATGTCGGAAGCTGACCTGGCGAAGATCTTTCGACACATGCTTCTGGGGGTCTTCCACACCCACGTGGCCGACTCAGTGCGAATCTTGCAACCTCAACGGGGCGTTGGCATCCCGACCACTGATGAGAATCGTAAAACTAACCAGCTGCCCGGAGAGACTCAACAAGAGCTTTGCTTAATCAACAGTCTTGTGCAAGATGTCAGAAATGTCGCACTCTGTAAATCGCGGCCCACGGACCAAGAACCGAGAAAAGAGCACATTTCAGCGACAATAGCAACAGAGAGCAACATGAAGACGACGAGTACAACTGTAACCACGACTGCATACGTCTGCATCTACAGCATCAGCCCTTGCTTGTCGGCGGCTGCTGCTCCTGCAGCTGCTCCTGCTGCTCTTGCTGAGCGGACAGTCTACGACATGCAAAACCACCAGGTTTCTGCAGATGGCTTTCAATCCTTCTATCTTCTTTTTCAAGACGCCATAAGGAAGTCGGCATCGTCCACAGGGACATCAAGTGCCGGGCCCGGAAGGGCATGTTCCAAGTGCAGTGCCTGTCTTGTAGTCAGATACCATGGACAGTATCCACCAAGGCCTGATAACTTCCTTTGGGGCGGCCCAAACAACAGCGTCCTCAAACTTTGCGATTACGGCCTGGGCCCGGAGAGGGGCGCGAAGCTCTATTTGTCATTCTGGCTTCGACTTGACTTGGCGAGGCCTGGCTGTGATGATGCCCAAGACCGGAAAGCTTAGCGGAGTGTTTGGCCAGTTCCTCATTTGGCCGCATTCGCACACATGGGACCTCTCATACGCTGCCGTCACATTGGTTCTGTAATGCTGTCGGAGCAAGCGACGCACGGAGCTTGTGCCTCCATCTGCCAGGCACGGCACCATACATGGCTCCAGAAATGCTGCGGAACGAAGGCTACGACTTCTTGGCAGACGTCTGGTCCATAGGCGCGACCTTTTTTGGAGCTGTGAGGCTACCATGCTGCCTTGTTGTGTTCAGTAGAATCGTTTCCAGGCTCCGTGGCTTACCTCCTGGTCTTCGGAAGCTTTCCGTACTCGCCTTCTGAGGTGGATATGCAAAGCTGGTTTCCTTTTTCGCATGAGTTTCGGATTGAGCTTCCATGTCAATCACTCAGACCCTCCTGAACCAGCAAGCTAGTGACAAGACTTCATAGTTTGATTGCTACCTTTGATGTCAAGCTTCCGCACAGAAGCACGCCAACATGTCCGAACAGCTAAATTCAAGCCGCTGTCGGCTTGCAGCAGCGCTGGTGTCGTTCTAAGTCCCGCGGGGACATGCGAATGACAGGCGAGTGCACCGGCGATGAAGAAGGCCATTATCGAGGCTCGCGGCACTGGAGGATGAAGTACGCATCAATCTGCGCAGTCGGTGATCCTATCAGGATCATCCGCCTCTCCATTTTCCTGCTCTGAGCCGCTGACCGAGATCCAGCATTGTATTCGATGATTCACTGTCAAGTTGTTTGTTCTTTGCCGTTTGAATGTGGGCCACCGCCGAAACCCTTCATTTCTCCGCAGGTGATGCCCAGGGTGTCGCCAGAAACCAAGATAGCCTGGACCTAAGAAAGCTTTACCTGAGTTGTCGGCATTGTGACTTCAGGTCTCCGGCTCATTGGTGGGGGCGTTAGACTTCACGAAGGCAGTCTCTAGTGGAACTCTCGATGCGGAAGTTCTTAAGGGGCCCTGGGCCCTTTTTGTGATTCTGAGGTGAGTTTCTTGGTTTGTGTTTCCTCTGCCTTGAGCCTCTGCCAGATGTTGCTGAAGCGAAGCGCCAAGCAGCGGCCAACAGCCGCAGAGGCCCGCCTGATCCCCTTGACTTCCTTGGAGTTCTCTGCTGAAAATGCAGGCGTTGCGGCACGAATTCGTGGCCGAGAAGGTTGTAAAACTTCCTGATGCCAACGAGTTCGACCCATTGTTGCGCAACTCGCCCCGACAGTTGACTGGAATCGGATCTGCAGTACTTGTCTGACTTTGTCTGTCGTTTGGCTTGGGCTCGATTTAATTTTGGTCACCATGATCGGCGGCTGCATGACATCGGGCACACGATCTGCAAGTCAAAAGCGGCGGCTGCAGCCGTTTTCGCAGCCAGTCGCCACTGAGTTGGATACACAGAACAACGATGACATGGACGGCCCGGACTTGGCAGAAAGAACAGCCAGGGCTGCTTAGACGGGACTTCGCTCCTGAAGCGCCGGAGGGAATGCCGAGCACCAGAGCCATAATTCCTAGGGGCAGTGCACGCCCTGGGGCGGTGCGTGCAAATGCACGCAAATGCCTTTGAGCAAACGCAGCCGGCATGGCGGCTGTGGCAAATGCCTATCAAAAACTGCAATCTGCAAGCTCAACATGCGGGAATGGGGACCCAGTCTACGGTCGCACCGGGGGGGCAGCGGCGGCAACCAAATCGGCAATGGGGACCCAGTGTACGGTTGCACCTTGTTGTTGCTCTTGTTCATCTGCTCTCCTACTGCTGCTCGCCTCCTGCACCTGCTGCTGCTCAACCGCTCTTCTACTGCTGCTAATCTGCTGAGCACACCGACGGAGTGCCAGTCTGGGCGCTTGAACGGCAAGAGGTGGAGCTGGTGGCAGCTCAAAAATGCCGTCCCGCCCACGCACGGCAGTCCGTGTATCAGTGCCATGATGAACCACGGCATGGCGTTGGTCGCCAGGTTGCTCCAGGCACTGCGGAACGCTTATGTGAGATTTGGCTGTTCGGTTCCCGCTGTTCGCAGAGCCGTGCCGAGACAAACACCAGGTGGATCACCTGCGGGTTGAGAGCGTTGTCCCCATCCTGAATCAAATGTGGGGGAAGTCCGGAAGATTCCAAAACGTCCGATGAGCCGGCATACTCGCGGTGCCAAAATTAAGAGCCTTGCTGCCGACCCGCTGCGCAGCCTTTTCGCCTTTGGGGGTCTGCACAGAAATCTCCGAGCGGGGCTGATAGCGATGACTTATCCAGCGTTTTGCAGAGCGCGCATGTGGTCCTCGAAATGGCCAAGCGTCTCTCTCGCCCGATGCATCCTGAACAGACACTCCTCCGCGAAGTGCTGCTGCATCAGCTTGGCTGGCCTCCAAACCTCGTCACTGGATCGTGTGGGACCAGTCCTCGTCCACCTTGAGCTCCACCCGAAGCCACTTAGACTTGGGGCAAGCATCTGGGGTTCCTTTGCCCGCTGCTCCATGGGTCTGCTCCACGTCCTGGATGGGCTGGGCTTCCTGCACAATCTGGTGGAGTCCTCAGACATGCAGCAGTCTGCCTGAAACCCTTGCCAAAATGCGAGCATCTTCTTAACTCTCCAGATCATCCTCAACGGTTAGGGGAGGCTGCCGTAAACACGGTTCTCGGCCCAATTTTCCGGCAAACTTCCTGGAACTCGGGGCCACCGGCTCCGTCCTTCCCCAGCTGGGATCTGGAATGCTCTGCACCTGGAAGCATGCTGGACTCATTGTGCCTGAATCGCACCAAATGGACTCGCGAGCTCGAGCTCACACGAACCCAGTGCCACGGCTCCCACCCCACGCGCCGCAGTTGCAGCAACTCTGGGCCTGCCAATGCAGACTGCATGGTGACAGGAAACCACAAGACGTGTCATGGCCTGTACTGTGGGCAGGCAACGTCTTCCGCATGGCCGTGGACTTAAGAAGTCGTACATGGCGGGCACTCGGACAGGTGCCATGCATTTTTCGTCACGGGACAGATTGACACCTGCGCAGCGGCAGGTGCTTAAATAAGATTATGGCAAAGCCAAGCATAGATGGCTCATGATGGCTCCATTGCTAGGAAGCAAACCAATGATAGTCGCAGGGCCCAGCAAGACCAACAAGCGAGCGTCTGTGGTATTCGCCATCACTGAAGATGCGATCCTGTAGCTGTAGAAACCTACATAATTTCAAGTGGACGTGCGTTATTAACAACCGTGACTTCTTGCAAGGGATACAATCAGCTTTGATTTGTTGCAAGGGATAAAAAGTTCGATTTTGTGTGTCAGGCAGCGCGTGTGTCCAGAGACACAGATTCTTGCGGAGCGTTAAAGCCTTTCTCGTCCATGTGCTTGCCTTCCTTTCCCAGGTAAGAACGCCCACAAAGCCAGATCACTCACGCAACAAATGCGCCAAAAGCGAGATTCGACGGCGCCCCACGGCATGTTCTTTGCTGTGCCGAATCACCACAATGCACTGAGTAAGTGCCAGCCAGCGGCAAAGCCAGGTGCAGCACGGCATCGACGATCTCTTGAAGAAGCTCATAATAAAGAACGGAGGCTGCCGCAGTTGCTTGCTCACTCTGCACCTGGGTATGGGCTGCCTGCACCACGGTCTCAGGAGACATTAGCAGTTCCAACATCTTCTTCTCTGAGGGCGACGAAAAACTCGATCAGGAAGAAGAGGCGAGTTGGACATTGAAAGCAAGTTGTTTTGCTGCTGTTGCATGGCATCATGCTGCACTCAGCTCCTCAGTCTCCCTGCAACGATGCTCAGCATGCTGAGCAACCACAAGACGGCAGATTTACCGTCGCTTTCTAGGAGCCCAGAAGCATGGAACCTCGAATGAAAAGGAGAAGCTCCAGACGTCGGGATCTAAGTGGAAGTTCTCCGATGGCCACGGCTTCACTGAGTGTGTGCTGAGGTGATGTAAAGCACTCCACGCACTCCGGGGTGATAGACCAGTCTGGCAGCTTGAAGTTCGACATGAGTCGGGGCCGTCAGGGAGTCTACCGCAGATCAACGGGAAGTTTTTTTTCCCGCAGGTCCTAACAGCGCGGTAGATTCGCGAGCCTCGGGCAAGAGCGCCCCTGGCGATGTGGCGGATCCCAGCTGCATTGCACTCCCGAAGATCTCTGAAGTGAAATTAATTTTCTTGCACTCCTGAAGGTTCCGGGCCTGTCGAATCGATGCTAAATCCTGCAGGCGGGAGAATCCTGACAAGAACCAGTCTGGACAGTGCTTACCAAGCTTCGCGAGGCTTTTGGCGAGCCGGGTCCTATGTCAAAGGACATGATGGAGCTGTCGCTCATATCGCCTGTTTTTCTTCTTGCGCGGCATCGCAGCCCTCCACTACTTTGCAAATGATAAAGACAAAGAGCGTACTTCCCGTTGTCGGCCATGGCAGAGGGCCTTGTGCCTACAGTAAAGTAAGCTTCATCTGAAGCTTTGCCCTAAGCTCCTTTGTCTTGTCACGTCAAATACTTACAGTATATGTAGTTCTATGTAGACAGATCCTGTTTCAAGTTGCAAGACAGAGGTGGTTGCTGCAGCAAGGCAGAAACAGTAAATGCTCGAATCTGCCTTGTTTGCAAGTCCGTACCTTTAGCAGGTATGCCACGGTATGTCTGGTCCCGGCTGCCAGTATTAAGACTGGACAGCAGATGGACCACTTGCGAAACAGCGCCACACCATTTAGAGTCAACTCAAGTCCACAACCGGCTTGCACAGAGGGCATGATGCGCACAAACGTGGGCATGCAACACTGTGCAGTCTCCCAGGATGTGAAATATCCGCATGGATCCTGCATCAGGTGAGCGCACAGAAACTGAAACGAAAGTGCGCGCCCAGAGGCAGCTGCTGGAATGTGAAAAGACTTAACAGAGCAGGGCCAGCCAGACTGTCCGTAATTTTGGATTGCACATGAGTGTGGGCTCAGCAATGCCTCAGTAAATCTTTCAACAGACCGTCTAGCCAGTGTAGGTAGGAGACTTTCCAAGCTTCTCCACCAGTGCCACACTGCCTGGCCGAGTGTGATGTGAACTGCGCTTCATTGATCAAAACCATTGCGAGCGCAGAGTCTTAGGGTTCCTGGAACGCAAGATGCAACAGACACTGTCTCAATGTCTTGCATCGCATTGCTGTGTGATCCTCAGCTGTTCAAAACCGGGCTGCCGACTTGCCTTAGCAGGCGGGATGGGTCGAGCTCTGCATTCTTGTACACTCGTGAGGTGGTGCGGGAGCAAGGGCAGCACATTAGGTGCCTCAGCGTTGCTCCGGCCCAATCGTATGTAGCTAGTATCAAATGCGTCCAAGTTTGTCAGGTATCTCCTAAGCCAGTTCTTATTCTGACAACCGAAACCATCCTGGACATCACTCTGCTAAGGTGATGGCCTGCAAGCCTTTCTTGTATTGAGAATGAAGTTCGCGACCTCTCGGTCTACAGATTTGAATGAGCCGCCCGTCGACATGTCAACATCAGCGGATGCCGACATGTTAAAGCGCCATGAAAGGGAGATGACATCTAGCATACCGAATCGGAAAGCCGGATAGTTCACGAGAGGCAGCCTGCACAGACGTTTATCCGTCTGGATCTTTGGACCAGCTGGGCCTTTCCTCATCTTCCCAGAAGATGGCTGAACATGAATTTCGAGCAAGATCAGATGACGTCATGGCTATGAAAACGAAAAGGGGACTTTGGACGGTCTCAGTTCTGCAGGCAAGCCCATGGAGCCCATGGAGGCACCAGCTGTCTCTACGCTGAGTCTGTGATAGCCAGTGTTGTGCTGAGGTTGAAACAGACGCCCGATGGCAGATCCCACGGGGTCGCAGGCACTCGGTGAGCCAGAGGAGTTTCTATGCAGGGCCTCTGGTGGTTGAGAGATGTTCGAGCCAGCGCTGCAGCTGATCCTGCTTGAAGTTTTAACGCCGATTCGCAGGCGAAGAGATCGCAGAAGAGGCAGCCGATGGGCTGGAAGCTGAACGGAGCTGAAGCATGAGTCCCACGCCGATGCTGCGATGCCTTTGCTTGGATTCTGAGGTTGTAGCCGTTGGCAGCTGCGTCTGCGTTCGCTCGGCCTCCGAAGGCTTCAGTGTGGTGCGGTCCTCAGTTTGCTCGCACATCTTAGACACACGTCCTATTGAACAGTCGAAGGCCGGCCATGGCTCGGGCAGCCAAAGGAGGAGGCTCCTGCCTCCGCAAACTCGCGAGCCCCTCGGATCATCTCTGATCTGACCAGATGGGCTCCACTTGCTGGTGCTTCGGCCATCCAAGGCTAGCTAGCTGCTAGGACATTCCAAAGACTCCACACGGCCCGTCCTGGCAGGTCCGGCAGCCGCCGCTGCTCCGAAGCAAGCAGGACGAGACAGAGCAGTGCAGCGAGCCAGGAAGAGGATTCGCATCTTTTCCAAGATGGCAGGAGGTTGGGGTCGGAACGGCTTGGTCGCCTTGGCCTTCTTCGGCCTTTTCGAAGGGTGGGCAGCAGCGTTGTTATGCTTTGTGAAGCTTGATTAGAACGTTGGCTGTGCAATTTGCACAAAGCCGAAGCAGTGGGCATGCAGGAGTGATGTCGCAGAGCGCAGGCGCAGCGCAGCTCTTTCGGATGCTGGAGTTCTTTGCAGTCCTGCAAACCAGGCAATCAGGCAAAAGAAGCAAAGCGCAGAAGGCTTTCGGTGCACGAATAATGGTGTGTCTGTAATGCGACAAGAGACTCCCGGACAGCACAGCTCCAGTCTTTTGCAACGCCCTTCTACCCCTCAGCTGCGAGCATGATTCCTGCAGCAGTTCATGGTTTGTTGCAATGCGTACATTTCTGATCAACTAGGACTGCGAATTATGCACCTTCACCTTCGGACGTCTTTCAGGTGAAGGGACGAAAGACGGACCACGACGACTTAAAGCAGTGGTTACTGAAGGTCCGATTGGATGGAGTGTTTGCGCTGGCACTCCCGCACGTTACTGCCGGCTTCCTGACTCCTAGGAGACGACTCAGCATGAAGCTTCATGGAGAAGGAGATTCGAAGATCTGTCCAAGAAACTCTCAGCATTCAGCATCCGTCAGCCTGCAGGACAACGTCAGAGTGGTGGCATGGCCTGGTCAATGGGCCGTCATCCCATGTAGAGCTCATCAGGCCGCGGGACTGCAAGCGACCTTTAGCTTGACGGAAGCGGAGATCGAAGCCCAAGCCTCAGGCAGCGGAAACCTTCAAGCGACGAGGCAGTGCCGCAGCATCTGAAAAATCGCCTTGAAATGCCTTGGAGCTCCAGGTGCAGGCCATGTCAAGCGAGGAGGGTGACGAGGATGAGGATGCGACAAAAGGCCGACGCGAGCAGACGGACGGTGGCGAAAAGCTTTCTGAGAGTGTAGGCATCTTGAACATCCTGGCTTCCGTCAAGACGTCGGTGGTTGCAGCCGTGCTTGGCACTGGAAGCGGCCGTGCCTCCCTGAAAGCTGAAAGACTGCTACTAGTCAAGGAAAGGTCCTCCTCCCCCTCAGCCACCAGCCACTGAGGATCCGATGAGGATGAGGACAACAAGGACCCTCCAGTCGAGGAGGAGGTCGCCGAGGGACAGAAAGAAAGCTTGTGGAAGCTGGGCATAAACCGCTTTGTTGCAGGGCAGTGAGGATTGGTGGCAATCCGCGCAAGCGGCCCTAGGAATGGCCGCAGCCTGGGAATCACATCTACTTGACTCCAGTATTCGCAGGGCCACTTTATGGTAATGATAGTCGTTACTGTACCACCAGATCCAAGGCGGATGACTCTGACAAAGCAGAGTCTCCTGCAGCCATGACGGAGGAGCCGGAGGAGGTACCTGCAGCCCTGCCACAGAGGCCAGCGAAAGCTTCCGGACCTACCGAAGCAGAGAGACTGAAATCGTTGAGCATGTTCCAGGCTGGAAGAGGAAGCAGCAGAGGAGCCGTTAGAGTTGGAGGCAGAGCCGGTGCTGGAGGCCGCAGATCGATTTTTAGTTACTTTGGACACCAGAAGAAGCGCTGTAGAGAGTCGAGTGTTTTCGAGTACTTCAACCGACCTTGCAATCACAGGCCGTCGATGTGCCGGAGGCGACTTCGTTCGGGTTTCGGGGTATCAGGTCTGCAAGTTGCACAAGGGCAGAGCAACTGTGTGTAAGCCATATTAGGGTTAAGCAGTTACCGACATCTTCAACCGACTCAGAATATGCGCTCCGCCGCCGGGCGACTCCCTCCCCAACACACACCAACAACTGGTTGCGCTGGCGCAAGAAGACTACACTGCGCTCCGCACTCTCCACTATGTTACGCTCAACACGCTGGTGTCCTTGGTCACGAACTTGGCTGACTCTCGCCAAAAGAGGCGTAGCAGAATACGGCTCCCTTGGCCGCTTGCCCTTGTTGCGCACTCTTCGGAACCATGGCTTTCCCTCACCCCTGATGCCCAGAATGAATTCCTCATTGATCTCCTCATCCACACTCACTCCCCTCTCATCCCTAAACTCTCTGTCTCTCCGAAGAAGCCATGGGTTCCTCCTCCTACTCTTGAATGTATCTCTGTATTCCAGAATAAGACCGACCTCATGAATCAGGAGGTCAAGCACCGCAACAAGATCACAAGAAATGGCTCGACGGGATGCGACGCAACTTATCCTCAATCACCTCCAGGATGACTTTGATGGCTCCGCTATGGAACAATCGCGCACGGCGCGCTCCCTCCGCAAAGATTGTCGCACAGAGCCGAAACGTTTGTGGACTATCTGGCCAATCAGGTCTGGAAGGCTCCTCCTAAAGAATACCCATCCTCTCCCTCGTTCGATTGTCTTTCTCACGCAGTGCACCCATTTACCGTGGAAGAACTTAACATAGTATTATGTGCGCTGAAAAAGGACCCGGGCCCGGGCCTTGACAAAATCCCCGCTGAGCTCTTTCAAGAAGTTCCCTACGTCACGCTACGTCTTTCGTCTCTACCTGTTGGACCACTACTACCAGTTGCTTCAACGGCGGAGAAGCTCCCGCTAGTTGGCTAGATTCGGAAGTTTTAATGGCCGTCAAAGAAACTATCAAAAAGACACAAAGCTTCTATCTAATTACCGCCCCATTCCCTCACAAATACGATGTGCACAAAATTTACGCCTCTCTCATCCAAAAAAGACTCGCCACTCACTTGGACCAGAGGTTGTGTCATAGTGTATGGCTTTCGTTCCGGCCGCTCAGTTGCACAGCCCATTCACATCCTCCGCAGGCTCCTTGTGGTACACGAACGCCAAGCCGACCCCTTCCATGCAGTTTTGCGGCTAGGGGTCTTTGACTCCGTCACATTCTCGGCCATCGCGGCCTCTCTTGAATACATGGGAGTACCATTTCTTCTCCGACAGGCTATCCTATGCATCTGTCAAAACCCCACAGTCATCGTAAGAGACAGCACCTTGGAGTCCACTGAAACACATGGCCTTCGTCAGGGTTGTCCCCTTTCCCCATATCGACGCCCTTTTGTGGGACTTAGAATATGCCGACGATACTGTCCTACTGTGGAACTCCTCCTTCCAAGTAGAAGGCCTCCTTCGTCTAGTTCAAAGAGAAGGAGCCTGGAGAGGCCTCTATCTCAACTACGACAAGTACGATCATTTCCGCTTAGACTCAGCAAAGCGCATCTTTCTTGATCGGCTCCTTCTTGTATAAGTTGACGATTTACAGATGCCCCGCTCCGATTTTCCGATGGAGTGAAATATCTTGGAGTCTACCTTGACCCTTGTTTCAATATGCATAAAAATGTATTTACCCGAATTTCCAGAGCTATGGAAGCCGCAAAAAAATTTCTCTTTTGATGAACCATGGACTTCTCCCCCTATTAGAAGTTACACAGTTACTCGTTTACAGATCTGTTGTCCAGTCCATGTCGATGTACACCATGGATAGTGCACTTCTCACGACTTCTCAGATTACCAAGATGAGTTCAAGCCATTTTAAATGTCTACGTAGGATTTTCAAAATCAAATCCTCCTACTCTTAACCCCACAGCAGCTCAGCGTTGTATCCAATACCCAGCCGACTTGGTTTTCTCCTCTCGAAGAGTTATCTCTCCTTCCCAAATAGACTTTCAAAATCGCCTCAATGGTTTAGCTCACCTGTATCGTCGCCCAGGTTCACTGGAAACTTTTATGCCCATCGGCAGCATATCGCCGCACGAGAGGCCCGAATAAAGTAGGCCGCCCCAAGGCACACTGGGCGGAATCCTGCCTCGTGGAGGCCTTTCAAAGAATAATAGACCACCTCCGCTCCGATGCGTCACCTTCACACTCACTTATCGACCATGAGATTTTCCCAATCCCAAGCGCCTTGGAGATACGGGAAACACATTCCTCCGGCTCCATAGTGTGGATGAACAATACCCTGCTGTACCGCAAAGTCTCGATTGTTGCCAGAAATAGCCTCCTGGTCGTTGGTTGTAAAAAAACCTAGCCGCAAAACCCTTAAGCGACTTTGAAAGTGTCGGTGCAGACGGAACCAGTTTTTGGGCCCTGCGCGTGCAACAAAGAGGAAGGATTCTTCTGTGCCCTTCTGCGGCACTCACGGATGGAGAGATATTCCCCGTTCGAACGTTGCGTCCCGCTCAAGTCTTCTATCAAGAAACGGCTCACACGAAAACACGGCTCGGCTGCAGCAGTACGGAATGGGATAGGATAGACATGTAGCATATGCACTCATTCCTTTTCTGCCTATTGCTACCGACCCAGCTATCTATGTATCTTTCTTTCTGCCTACTTGCCACGTGACCTACCTACCTATGTGCTTACCTCCCTACACTGCCTGCCTACCTACCTACCTACCTACCTACCTGCCTACCTACCTGTCTACCTGTCTATCCGTCTATCTGTGTATGTATCCATCTATCTATCAATCCAAACTACTTGCCAGCTGTTTATCTTTGTACCGACCGACCGACCGACCGACCGACCTACCGACCTACCTACCTACCTACCTACCTACCTACCTACCTACATACCTGTCTATCGATCTGTCTAGGTATCCGATGGTCCGACTCAGAACGGATATGTGGTATGTCACATACTTATGTGTGTCATACGTCCGCATGTATGCATGCATGCATTCATGTATGTATCCAGGCAGGCAGGGCCTCAAAAATGCAGGCTATAAATCCAAGTTTAAAGGGCGAGGGGATCGTTGGCCCTGTGGTCACGGAGGAGGGGAGTAAGAGGAAGGAAAGAAGAAACGTCTGACCGCTTCGGCCTGGGCGGAGGCGAATCAAGCGTATGAGTATACAGTTGTGTATGTACATACATATTGCACAGACAAATATATGCATAACTTATGTGTATATATATATAGACACACATCTATATGTATACACACATACTTTTGTATTGTTTATTCGGAGGTGCAGGTATGCATGTTCTTGTTCCATTGGCACCGTCTTGGGGAGGATGCGGATCCTCAAGAGGATCAGCCGCCACCAGAGTTTGCTTCTTACCTTTTCGCAATGATTCCGGGTATTGCTGCCACAACTTGTGCAGAAAGCACG